CGTACTTGCAGACATTCAACGAAAAATTCATTGATTTGAATAATTTGCACTGTGCAAGAAGCCAGTGCTACTAATGATTGCTCATATGGACGTGTAAATTGACGAATATCAACATATCAAAACGCATCATTTAGCACACAAAATGATACCTCTATGATTTCTCAAATTATAATACAATTATGATACTAATTGTAAGTAGCATTTTCTGGAGTTGGAAAATACAAACGGAATCAACGAATTTTGTATGAATATCTTCACTCACATTCCGCACGATGAATATTCCTTACTAGAACATTACTCATTTACCATCAATATATAGATTCATGAAGGTTACTGAATCTCGTCGACGAACAATTACTATGGCTCATGGATTGGCTGCTCTCTTGTTGCGAAGATGATCCAACTAGTTTCTTCTCTTACACGACGCTTATAACAATCCATTCGTATTATTCCTATGCTCTCTTTGGGCTCCAAAAAGAACATATTATATAATAACATATTTGAATGCGGCCCATTGCTTCACTAATCTCATTTAACAACACCGAAATTACTCCACTCTATTGGTTGCTTGGCTGATTCCTTTCTATGAGACGACGACTCATTCGGTCGGGGCTTTGGCTTAGGCACATAGGCTTTGGCGTGCACCAAATAGGTATAACACAAGAAGAAGAACAATTCAATGCAAACATCCTCAATCATTCGCTCATTTTTTCGATTCATCTTACCGCCAGCCACCGTTATGCCGCAGAAGTTTGCTCGACCCTCAGCTACTGAACTTTTCTTTTCAGATAATACTTATTCTTCACAGTTTGCTTGGTAACTTCCGAGCAAGTTTGGTGCTCATTGGCTGCATGCGTTATTGTACATTGGCTGTTGTTATGATCATCATTGCAGTTGTTTTGATGTTTGCAATGCGTGTAATACTATTGCTAGTATGGTTAACATTATCATCAGTATTCTTGCTTTGATTACCTTCATTATCATATACAACATCGCTATTTACTGTAGTTAGATCACTATTA